TTATTATTTCCATGAAATATCTTTTTCCATCCTTTCACTTTCAATCTATATATTTATGTCTTGGATCTAAAGTGAGTCACTTATAGACAGCAGATAGTAGAATAATTTTGTAAAAAATTCACTCTTCCAATCTCTGCTTTTTGATTGGTGAGTTTAATCCTACTGCTTCCATTTTGTGATTTTTTTCTGCATGTCTTACACCTCTTTGGTCCCTCATTTCCTCCATTACTGCCTTCTTTTGTGTTTAGTTGATTTTGTTGTAGTGAACCATTTTGATTCCCTTTTCATTTCCTTTTACGTATATTTTTTAGATGAATTATTTGTAATTACCATGGGGATTATACTTAACTTCCTGAATTTATAACAAGCTAGTTCAAATTGATACCAACTTAACTTCAATAGTATTCAAAATTCTGCTGCAATACATCTCTGTCTTCCTCTTCTTATGTTATTGTTGTCACAAATTACATTTTTACATGTGTGCCCAATAACATAAATTTATAATTATTTTTATATAGTTGTCTTTTAAATTCTTTTGATATAAAAAGTTACAAACCAAAAATTCAACGATACTGGCTTTTATACTTACCCATGTATTTACTTTTACTGGAGATCTTTATTTCTTCATATGGCTTGAGTTACTATCTAGCGTCATTTCAGCCAGAAAGGATTCCCTTTAGCATTTCTTGTGGGGCAGGGCTAGTGGTACAAACTCCCTCAACTTTTTTCTCATCTGTGAATATCTTAATTTTCTCCTCAGTTTTGAATGACAGTTTTGCCACATATAAAATTCTTTCAGCATTTTAAATATGTCATCTCACTGTCATTTGGCCTCCATGGTTTCTGATGAGAACTTGGCAATTAACCTTATTGAGGATCCCTTGTACCTGACGAGTTGTACTCCTCTTGCTGCTTTCAAAATTCTCTCTTTGTCTTTCAACAGTTTGATTATAATGTGTCTTGATGTGTCTCTTTGAGTTTCTCATATTTGGAATTCATTGGGCTTCTTGGATTTGTAGATTCATGTCTTTCATAAAATTTCAGTTGTTATTTCTTTAAATATTCTTTCTGCCCTGTTCTCTCTCTCTTCTACTTCTAGGACTTCCATGGTGTGGGTATGTTGGTCTTCTTGAAGATGACCCACTGGTCTTTTTGGCTCCGTTCATTTTTTTTTCATTCTTTTTTCTTTCTACTCCTCAGACTTGATAATGTCAATTGTCTCATCTTCAAGTTCCCTGATTCTTTTGCCTGCTCGCATCCGCTATTGAATCCCTCTAGTGAATTTTGTTTCCATTTCAGTTATTGTACCTTTAGCTCAAGAATCTATTTGGTTTCTTTTTATAATTTTTATCTCTTGATATTCTCATTTGGTTCATACATCCATTTTTTCCCTTCTTAATACTAAATATTTTCCTCTACTCTCTTCTTGCTTCCATGGTTTCTGAGGAGAAGTCCAGTGTAATTCTTATTCTTATTCCTCCACAAGTAAGGTGTTTTTTTCCACTGGCTTCTTTTAAGATTTTTTCTTTATTTTTTGATTTTCTGCAGTTTAAGTATGATATGCCTAAGTGTAGATTTTTGGGCAGTTATTCTGCTGGGTGTTCTCTGAGCTTGCTGGATCTGTGGTTTGGTGTCTGATGTTAAATTTGGGAAATTCTCAGTCATCATTGCTTCAAATATTACTTCTCTTCCTTTCTCTCTTTCTTCTCCTTCTAATATTCCCATTAACACATATTACACCTTTTATGGTTGTCCACAGTTCTGGGGTATTCTGGTCTGTTTGTTTCAGTCTTTGTTCTCTTTGATTTTGAGGTTTGGAATTTTCTGTTGACTCAAGCTCACTGATTCTTTCTTAGCTGTGTCCAGTCTACTAAAGAGCCTATCAAAGGCATTTTTCATTCCCGTTACAGTATTTTTTATTTCTAGCATTTCTTTTTAATTTTTTCTAAGAATTTCCATCTCTCTGCTTACATTACCCATCTGTTCTTGCATGTTGTCTACTTTTTTCATAACAGCCTTAGCATATTAATCACAGCTGTTTTTAAATTCTCGATCTAATAATTCCAACATCCTTATTATATTTGAGTCTGGTTCTGATGCTTTCTCTGCCTCTTCAAACTGTGTTTTTTGCCTTTTAGTATGCCTTGTAATTTTTTGTTGAAAGCTGGACATGATGTACTGGGTAAAAGAAATCTAGTACCAGTTCCTGTAGAGGTTTCAGTTTGTGAGTTTCTGCTTTGGTAAGTTGTGATTCTCTGCATCTGCCTGTCTGTCTCTCCAGTTTTGGAGCTAGCAGTTTGCCCTGTGATGTCAATTCTCTGCGAGATTCAAGAGCAGTTCATTTTCAGTTTGATCAGCTTTTTTTTTTTGTGAGGAAGATCAGCCCTGAACTAACATCCAATGCCAATCCTCCTCTTTTTGCTGAGGAAGACTGGCCCTGGGCTAACATCTGTGCCCATCTTCCTCTACTTTATATGGGACACCACCAGAGCATGGCTTGACAAGTGGTGTGTCGGTCCGAGCCCAGGATTCAAACTTGCGAACCCTGGGCTGCCAAAGTGGAGCATGCGAACTTAACCACTACGCCACCGGGCCGGCCCAAGTTCAGCTTTTTAATTGTTGTTAAAACAGAGTGATGACTTCCAAGCTGCTTGCGTGCTGGAGCAGATACCAAAAACCCTCTGTGATACTGTGATTTATAAGAAATATATATTTGGTCATTCAGATGACCAAAAGATATTTCTCACATACTTGGTCTTCATCCACAGTTCCTGGCTAACAGCTCCCCAAACCCTTGGAATTTCCTAAGTGTTGAGAGTGATAAAAAGTGACTTTTGTCGTGTTAATGAGGTGACTTTTGGAAAGAACTTAAGGATGAGAGCTTGTCACCAGGAGACCCAACCATGTGATTAGAGGGGTGGAACTTTCATTCCCCCCCACCTCCCCCAACCTCCAGGGAGGGGAGAGGAGCTAGAGTTGAATCAACTGCCAATGGCCAATGGCTTAGTCAATCATGATTACATAATGAAGCCTCCATAAAAACCCAAAAGGACAGCTCATCAGCCCTTTTTCGGAGAGCTTCTACGCAGGGGAACCAGAACACTTCCATGTGCCACTAGGCCAGGGCCCAAGCTCCATGAGGACAGAAGCTCCTTTGTATCTCATCTTATGCGTCTCTTCATCTGGCTGTTGACTCGTATCCTTTAATATCCTTTGTATTAAATCAGTAATCTAGTGAGAAAATGGGTTTTCTTGAGTTCTGTGAGTCGTTCTAGCAAATTAATCAAACTGGAGGAGGGGGTGGTGGGAACCTCTGGTTTATAGCCAGTCAGTCAGAGGTATAGGTGACCACCTGGACTTGTGATTGGCATCCTGAGTTGGAGGGGGTTGTTGGAACCTCCAGTTTGTAGCCCGTCAATCAGAAGCACAGGTAACAACCTGGGCTTGTGACTGGTGTCTGACGTGGAGAGTGGTCTTGTGGGACTGAGCCCTTTCCCTGTGGAATCTGATTCTATCTCAGGGTAGATAGTGTCAGAACTGAGTTGAGGGGCCGGCCCTGTGGCTTGGTGGTTAAGTGCGTGCGCTGCGATGCTGGTGGCCCGGGTTCGGATCCCGGGTGCTCATCGAGGCACCACTTCTCCATTCATCCTGAGGCCGAGTCCCACATACAGCAACTAGAAGGATGTGCAGCTACGACACACAACTATCCACTGGGGCTTTGGGGGGAAAATAAAATAAATAAAATCTTTAAAAAAAAAAAGAACTGAGTTGAATTCTCAGACACCCTGCTGGTGTCTGAGAACCGCCTGTTGGTGTGGAGAAGGCTGCACACGCACGCATGTTGGAATTGGGTCCAGGAATGCTTTACACCTTCATTTGGTTGTTTTTTTGTAATTTCTCTCTCTTTATTGATATTCTTTTTTTTTAATAATTTTATTTATTTTTTCCCCCAAAGCCCCAGTAGATAGTTGTATGTCATAGTTGCACATCCTTCTAGTTGCTATATGTGGGACGCGGCCTCAGCATGGCCAGCAAAGCGGTGCGTTGGTGCGCGCCTGGGATCCGAACCTGGGGCGCCAGCAGCAGAGCGCATGCACTTAACTGCTAAGCCACGGGGCAGGCCCTTTATTGATATTCTTTATTTGATGCAATGTTGTCATCGTACTTTACTTCTTTAAGCACAGTTTACTTGGGTTCTGTGAACGTATTTAAATTGGTCAAATGGAGGTTTTTTCTTTTAAATCTGACATATGGTCACTCTCACAGGCAGTTTCTCTTCTTAATTTTTTTTTTTTTGGCGTATGTGTCATACTTTCCTGTGTCTTTGCATGTCTCATAATTCTTTGTTGGAAAATGGACATTTTGGATAATATAGCATAGCAAATCCAGGTACTGGCTCCCCCCCTCCAACCAAGGCTTGGTGTTGTTATTTGCTTGTTTATTTGTGGAGTGACTGGCTGGATTGATTAGTGACGTCTACGTCCCTTCCTCGGTGTTAAGCTTATGATGTTGCTCCAGAGGGGCACAGCTTTGTTTGTGCCCACACTCACCCTGGGATGACAGTGGTCTTGGCAGGGCTCTCTTCCTCTCGTTGTCTGAGTATGCTCAGCTGATAAAATAACTGCCAGCTATTGGTCAATTACTTTCAAAAGTGCCCAAGGGCATAAAATGGTCTAAACTAATGCATTCAGATTTGGACTCATTTGAAGGGATAGTTCAGGAGGTCAGTAACTGAGACTTGTTCTGACCCTACCTCCCTGCCCTCCCTTATAGCACTGGGGGCCCACTGTAGCTGGGGACCACAGGCTGTGTGATTTTCAGTATTTGTAAGCGTCTCAGCAGAACAATAAAGCATTTGGAGTATGTGTTTGGGAAGCCAGGTTGTGGGGGGCATGGAGCTGGGGTACATGAGGTAGGAGGGCTAGGTCTTCCCTACTAAGCAGGATTTCCACCTTATTAAATGTTCCAGGAGGGACCCAGGGCCCAACCCATGACCTCCAGGTCCCTACCCTGCCCCCACTTCACAATGACTGAGGACCGGCTAGGGACATAGGAGGGCATGAGGTCTCCAGGGATGGAGGATGAAGAGGCAGGAGCAGGTGGGAACTCAGAAGTTTAATGAGGCAGGAGCTGGAGGCAGAGGAGGAAGTGAAGGCAGACGGGGCAGTGAGGCCGGTCACTGTGGCAGGAGGCTGAGCAGGAGGCTAAGTAGAAGGGCAGCTGCAAGGCAGTGAGGCTCCAGGAAAGCTGTCTGAGTCCCTGAGCTCAGCCGGTCACCATAGCGGTCCAGGAGCATCAGGACCACTCCATTGGTCCAGCCAAACCCTTCCTGGAGAGAGGCATGGCCAGTGAGGGAAGACCTCTGGGGAAGCCCTCAAGTCCTTTTAGAGGCTGTGGGATCTTCACCCGGAGACTCTGGCCCCGCCTAGCCCCAGGGGTACCAAGGGGGTACCTCCTCCCTGTGGGCCCACATACAGGGGAGGAAACCGAAGCCAAGAGAGGGGAGGTCATGGTCATTTGTGGGGACAGCAGAGCCCCAGAGTTCTCTGGAGGATGTCCCACTCACCTGAACCTCATACTCCCCTCCACCACCCGGCTGTCCACCGTTGCTGATGTCATACTGGGGACAAGAGGACGTGCTCTAAGGTCAGATGCTGCCCCCAGCCTCCACACCCCAGCCCTCTAGGGGAAGCAAGAAATGGGAGCCCCTTTGGGAGAATCCACTCTGGCCTGCAGCTCTGACCCCTGCAGTGCCCGAGAATGGCCACCAGGTGCCACCCCTGTCCCTGGCTGTGCTGGGCCTGGGCTTTGCAAGCCTGACAGTTTCCCCATCTCACCATGAGGAGGAGGCCCCGTGGGACTGGGCTCAGGGCAAGCTCACCTTCTCATACATGGCTGACGTTTTGGAGTAGACATCAAAATTGGTTCGGATACAGCTCTGGGCCAGCTGGAAAGCCACTTCTTGGGCCCGAAGTGAAGGAGACTCGATCAGACCTAGACCTCACCCCAGGCAGGACCCTGAATCTCCAGAGCCCCCATCCCAGGGGGAGCAGAGGCCTGAGCCTTACTCTCCTCCAGGAGGGAAAGAGGTCCGAGCCCTAAGACCTCCTTCCTGGAACCACGGGCCAACTTCCTGTTAATCTGGGGCCCGAGTTTGGAGGGAGAGGGGAGGGCTGATATCCCTCACAATTGGGGTAGACATAAATGTTTGCTGAGTGGGAGGCTGAGAGAGCAGAGAAGTCAGAGAAAGACCCTGCATCCTCTGCACACACCTCCCCAGGACCAGGGAGGCTGACCCTCTACTCCCTCGAGGGTAAGGCCCTGGGATGTGCCCCATCCCTGCCTCCTGCCTCTGATGACCAGGTCCCGCAGGGGTGCCCAGGCATTGGGAAAGTCCTACTGCTGGCCTGTATTCTGGAGAGAGGTTGGGATCCCGTACTGGTAGGTCAGGATCTGGCTGTCCTAGAAGGTTCCAGACATTACTATGACTATGGGTGGGAGCTGGACAGGGAGCCAGGAAGCTGGGCGCTCCTAAAGCTAGATGTCCTTCCCTGGGCCTTCTTGACTCACAGCTTCCCCCTGGTGGCTGCAGTGGGACCTGCAGGCTAAGACGCTGGGGCGGAGCAGGAGGCAGTGGCTGCCACCTGCCAGGGGTTACTGCTCAGAGTCAGGGAGAGAGCAGATGGTCCTGCCCCCAGAGTACCAGCCCGCCATGCTGCCCCCCTCACCTGCAGGTATTTCAGAGCCTTGTCCACGTCGCCCGGGTCAGAGAAGCAGCCGGCCCAGAAAGGAGTGGGGTTGAATGGGTAAAACTCCCAGGTCTTTCTGTTCTCAAGGTAGTAGTCGAAACGGACACCTTCTCCTTATCAAACAAGACAGCCTTCAGGGCAGCCAAGTGCTATGTCTGCAAATTTCAGTACTTAATACCTGTGTAGCCATTCTCTGGGTGGCACTGGGTTTAGATGGAATAATCAAGGACCCAATCCTTTGACCCTACAGAAGCTCTCTAGAAAGAACTTCTGATGGGGAGGAGGGGAAGGTCTACTCCTAACTCCTCACCTCCTGCCTGAAGCCCTTTCCAGCCTCCCCCAGGCAAACCTAGCCTGTCCTACCACCTCCAGGCTGCCCAGTCCTGCCCCTTCCTTACACCAGTGGTAATTGCCTGCTGGGCTCTCTCTTCCCTGAGCTCCTCAGGCCAGGCCTCTGCTCAGGAATGATAATTGCTACTGCCGATTGTAGCCAAGCCCTGGGATCAGCACGGTCTGTCAGGCACTTTCTCTCCTTTGTCTGAGGCTCAGAGAGGGCAGTGGTTTGCCCAAGGCTGCACAGCAACTGTCCTCCTGCCCAGGCCCCAGGGCACCTGCTGACACAGAATGGTGCTCCGGGCTCCTCTGCCAGCTAGCTTGGGCTGCTTCCTCACGCAGCCCTGCAGGAACAAACCTGAGCCACTGCTCCCCTCAAAATTGCTGAGAGAGGCTGGCTTCTCTCCCACTAAAACCACCCTCCTCTAGAACTAGGAGGGAATGAACAGAGAAATGCCAGATGTGGACACACAGCAAGCCCCTCTCTGGTCCTACAATTGCTCTCCCTCAGCTGCGTTCATCCACATCCGTCTCACTGGGGAAAGGGCTTGGGATTTCATCCACACCTGAGCCAGAGAATGGGGGCCCTGAGTCTCTGGGCCTGGCTTGGGGATGGCAGCAGAGATTCGGGGGGCAAGGTGAGCCAGAGGAAATGGCCCCCCACCTGGGTCCTAATAATGGCCGCTGCTCAGTGAGCACCTGTGGGTGCCAGGCAGAGTGGTCAGGGCTCCTACGCACCATCCCCCCAGTCAGGACTCCAGAGGCCGGCATGTGGGGACGAGCACACCAGGCTCCCAGCAGCTCAGGCCTTGACCAAAGCCACACGGCTGAGCAGCAGCAGAGCCAGAACTCAAGCCCAGGCTGCCTGGCTCCAAAGCCCAGAGCTGCCAGCCCCAGCCTCCTTCAGCCTCCACTCTGTGAGGGCTGTGCCCTCTCTGCTGACTGCAGGTGAAGCCAGAGGTCCTCAGCCACCCTGAGCAGTTCTCTCTGATCTACTCAGAACACCCCTTCATTGTGCCTGGCGGGCGCTTTGTCGAGTTCTACTACTGGTGAGCAGCCAGGGGCCACAGAGGCGGGAGTGGTGGGGAAGCCAGGGTCAGCGGGGTGTCTTGAGCAGGACAGGGTGCCCTCACGTGGCCTGGGTGTGCAGGGCAGAGGGAGCTGTGAGGAGATGCCTGAGCTGTCCCTTCCCCCAGGGACTCCTACTGGGTGATGGAGGGTCTGCTCCTCTCTGAGATGCCCGAGACAGTGAAGGGCATGCTGCAGAACTTCCTGGACCTGGTGCAAACGTAAGAGGGGGCCGGGCACCTCAATGGCAGGGTGGAGGAGAAGCAGGTGCCATGGGCTTGGAGCTGGGTCTGCCTTGGCTCTGGCGGCCGGGCAGAGGCATCTCAGCAGGCCTCCTTCGTGGCAGCTACGGACATATCCCCAATGGGGCCCGCGTGTACTACCTGCAGCGGAGCCAGCCCCCACTCCTGACCCTCATGATGGACCGCTATGTGACTCACACCAACTACACCGCCTTCCTACGGTGGGCACCCCTCCCTGTGCTGCCCTGCAGCCCCCATACCTGAGACCTCCCAGGGCGGGACTGGGGAGGTGTGCCTGGGCTGAGGGGGTGCCTGGCTCCACCCCAGGGACAACATTGAGACCCTGGCCTTGGAGTTGGACTTCTGGGCTGAGAACAGGAGCATCTCTGTGAGCTCAGGGGGAAACAGCTACGTCCTGAATCGCTATTATGTCCCTTATGGAGGACCCAGGTGAGGAACTGCCCCGCCAGCCTCCCAATCTCCTGTCTATTCACTCTGGTTTGAGTGTCATGAGAACGCCCCTGGGCAAGAGGGTGAGTGACAGCCCCACCTCTCAGACGGTGACACGGAGTGGGTCGGGGCCTCTGTTCTCGGGAAAGGAGTGCCAATCTGTGCTCTGGGGGCAGTGTGGCCCCAAGCTGACACACCTCTTTCCCTGCTCCATCCCACTTGGCCAGGCCACATAAAGACCACACACAGGCTACAGAGGAGACTTGCCCAAAGTCCAGGAGGTGGTGGTGAGGCAGCACAGCATGCCCTGTGGTGCATCCTCATTCTCCTGGAGGTCCAGTCTCTGTTCTAGGCTGTCCCTGGGGAGAGAAAGACCCCAAAGGGCAATGGGAGCAGGCAGGACACCACCGGGATTGGGGGCCGGGGCCTGCAGTGAGGGAGAGCTGTAACCTGGCATGAGGTGAGGAGGAGCTGGCACGGGGAGGACATGGAGGAGGGCAGACCACCATGGGGCTTGCTTGTTTGCAGCTTGGCCACCAGCCTGCACACCACAGCGCTGCCCCCTCCTCCCAAGGCAAGGCCCGCCCCCTGGCCAGGGCCTGGAGCAAGATAAGGGAACCTCAAGTCCCCTCCCCCTGCACCCCTGCTCAAACCACAGCCACCTGTGGATCAAAAACACCTCTTTTTTTTTTAACCCTCAGTTGCCTGAAAGATGTGCATGGTTGGGGCTGCGGCTGAGTCATGAGAGCCGCCTGTAGACACAGTGGGGGACTCCTGAGCGCTCGCTCTCAGACTTTGCACGTTTCTGCATTTCTGCACGTGGCAGCAATTTTTGCAGAAAGGGTGTGGAGGGTGCATCTGGGCAGGCACCAGTCTGCTGCAGCTGCCTGTGGCTGCCTCTGCCCACCCAAACTCTGGTTCTCACCTCAACCACTGTGACTTCCTCTCCCCGTGGGAACAGGGCACAGGTCAGGGGCTCCTGCCACCCCGGACTAGTGGGCATCTTCCTGCCAGGCCAGGAGTTCCACTGCCACAGCCCGGTATCAGCAAAATTCAGATGCTCCCGGGTGACCCCAACTCAAGTCACGCAGCCTTTCTCCCGCACAGGCCTTGTAATCAACGGGATTAGCAATGTCCATAAATCTCCATGAGAGGTGTTTTACATCAGAACTGGGTCCCAGGAGACCCCAAGTGATGTCTTGACTATGCCATTACAGGCTGTGTGCCCTTGGACCACTCACTCTGCATTCCAGGTCATTTGTATTTAAATTGAAGGCTTTGCTGTTAGGGGATACAAACTCAAATTCCAGTACACAAATGTGTGAAATAAGTTGGGGCTAAGGGAACTAATAGGGCAAGGGGGATGATGCGTGGCAGGGCCCGTTTTGTGGGGTGATGGGGATCGGGGTGCACTGGAAGCACATTTCTGTGTGAAGAGGGTCTCCGTGGCAGAAGATGGTGACGTAGGGAAGGTGGGGTTCTTATTTGCTAGATCTTCTGATTTTTCAAAGTAAGGTGGAAATCCATATATTTACATGAGATACCCCAATTCTTAAGTGTCTCAATGTCCCATGTCAATCCGGGAGTGATTCCTGTGTGCATGTGAGGAGTGGTGAGGCAGAGACCTGACCCCACCATGGGGCCGCCCCTTCCCCCGGAAGCGTCCCGGACCCTGCCCTCAAATGAGAGCTCAGCCTGGGACGTTGACTCGCGATCATTTGATGCCCTTTTAGATTGATATACTCGGTGCATATTGACATCCTTAATGTGCAGTGATCTCTTACAAATCAGAAAGAACACTGTTATGCTTGGAAAAAATCTACAGAATAACCAGAGATGGTCAGTAAACCTAATGCTCTCTTTATTCTTCTCTGGATCTGGATCGGGCCACGGCCCACAGGGACACGGCCCCAGCTGCCCCCAGGTGTCTGTGCCCTAACCTTCTTGGATGTCCTTGCCACTTGGATGTCTCACCACTCAGCGTGTCTGCCCCGTATTTCTTAACACATTTGCAAGCAGGTGCGTCTTTGGTGGGGAAAACAACACTTTAAAATATTTATTCAGCTTTAATTTCGCAGTGAAGCTGCAGG